CTTTTTCTTTTTTTTTTTTTTTTTTTTTTTATTAGAGTAGAAGAGCTGTTGGCGCTAATGTAATTCGCATAGTTGCAGCAATAGATATCATATCTTATAGTCGCAATGATTGCTATAATAATATTTATACAATCACACGTTATTATTTAGAATACTTATGTAGTTTTTTTTTTTTTTCGTTTGTTCGTTTTCGAAAGTCATACGTCTGTTGCGTTTTATTGCATCATGAGTAGAAATAGTTGTACTTTATGAAAGATTTTTGTTTCCGCTTTCTATTTCCAGACACTGCCAGGAGCAAAAGCTTATCGCAAATAAAAGAACAATTATCGAATGAAGAATTAATCCGCGAGACAGAGAAGAGTCGAAGATCGTAAAGCGAGTCAAAAATGCATATACCGGAAACGAATGAAAATAGAAAATAGGAAATAGAATATAGAAATTTGAAAATTGAAATAATCATGCAACAATCACAGCATCTTTCCAGGACTCAAGACTGCCATCGCATTACGTCTACAATAAGAAACTATATTGTACTGTTAATGTTTTTACGTTTTTAATTTGTTAAAGCGTCGCGCTGAACTATTTAATCCGCTATTTAATTTTGCCTCCCCAGCCCCGTTTGTGTAATGCAATAAAACAAGACAAAAGAAGTACGTCTCTAATTGACGAGAAAAGATGTGAAAAGAATTCCTTGTCTTATTATACAATATTTTGATTGTATAGATATTTGATTTTTCTATTCCCGTTATATCCATATCCTTTCTCATATCACTTCCTAATTCAAATTCTGTTTATTGTACAATCTTTTTTAATGTCATTCTTATAACATATCATCATTATACTATATCCATATATTTGATATGTTTTAATAGTAAGTTTAATTCGATTATAAGTGTTGTAATAAAAAAGTATTTATCACTTGCAAGATAAAATAGAGGAGAAGAAGAAAAGACTCTAAGCAAAAAAGACTCTAAATTGGATATTAGAGAAAAATTGGATAGAAAATTAATTAAATTAAATAATATATAGAAAATGAGTTCAATTTAGTATTCGTCAATAGCATCTGTCTCTACATCAGTCGAATCTAAGCCAACCTCTTCATAGTCCTTTTCAAGAGCTGCAAGATCTTCACGAGCTTCAGAAAATTCACCTTCTTCCATACCCTCGCCAACGTACCAATGAACAAAAGCTCTTTTAGCGTACATAAGATCAAACTTATGATCAAGTCGAGCCCAAGCTTCAGCAATAGCTGTTGTATTAGACAACATGCAAACAGCTCGTTGTACTTTAGCTAAATCTCCACCCGGTACAACTGTTGGTGGTTGATAATTTATACCGACTTTGAATCCAGTTGGGCACCAGTCAACAAATTGTATTGTTCGTTTTGTTTTAATAGTGGCGATCGCTGCATTCACGTCCTTTGGGACGACATCCCCTCTATACAGCATACAGCAAGCCATATATTTTCCGTGTCTTGGATCACACTTGACCATTTGATTAGCTGGTTCGAAGCATGCGTTAGTGATTTCTGCGACCGAAAGTTGCTCGTGATATGCTTTTTCAGCGGATATTACAGGAGCATAAGTAACCAAAGGAAAATGAATTCTTGGGTAAGGAACTAAGTTTGTCTGAAACTCGGTTAAATCTACATTTAAAGCACCATCAAATCGCAACGACGCTGTTATTGAAGAAACAATCTGTCCGATCAGTCTATTAAGATTAGTATAAGTTGGTCTTTCGATATCAAGATTGCGTCGGCAAATGTCATAAATTGCTTCGTTGTCGACCATAAAAGCGCAGTCTGAATGCTCGAGAGTCGTATGAGTAGTAAGAATGGAATTATATGGTTCAACAACAGCTGTAGAAACTCGTGGAGCCGGGTATATAGCAAATTCTAATTTAGATTTTTTTCCATATTCAACAGAAAGACGTTCCATTAATAAAGAAGCGAATCCCGATCCAGTACCACCACCGAATGAATGAAAAATAAGAAATCCCTGTAAACCGGTACATTGATCTGCTAGTTTACGTACACGGTCAATGACTAAATCGACAATTTCTTTGCCAATTGTGTAGTGACCACGAGCATAATTATTTGCTGCATCTTCTTTGCCAGTGATCAATTGTTCTGGATGGAAAAGATGCTTATATATTCCAGTTCGAACTTCGTCTACAAAAACAAAAAAAAAAATCTCAATATTTCTATTTTTAATCTCTAATAATCAAATGATTTCCTTTTTTTCTCTTACCAACTACTGTAGGTTCCAAATCGACGAATACTGCTCTAGGTACATGTTTGCCAGAACTAGTTTCGTTGAAAAAAGTACTAAAACTATCATCACCGCCAAATGTTTTATCAGATGGCATTTGTCCATCCGGTTGTATTCCATGTTCCAAACAATAGAGTTCCCAACAAGCATTTCCAATTTGGACTCCAGCTTGTCCAACATGAATAGATATGCACTCTCGCTAAAATAATATAAAAAATTGTATTTTTGAAAGAAACAAGATTTCTTCTTTTTCTTTTTTTCCTTATCTAATTTTTATTATTTATCTAAATTCAATAGTATTAAACCACTGTCCCTTTTTCAAAAAAGATTATCAGAAAATGAAATTTATTTTTTTTATCTTGTCAATATATTTCGATAATTATTATTTTCAATATAATATGAAATGAAATCTTAAATCTATTATCTATTACTTAGTTAAATTATTAATTTTATCTTTATATTTTTTTATTATTTCAATAATCATTTACCTAGAAAAATAGGCATTTTTCTTACCATTTTAATTATATAAAAGTAATAAAGTTTATTAATGCTATTATGTAACTTGTAAAATAATTAAACACAAAATTTTTCACGACACGATTACACAGAAGATGAGACCGTTTCTTTGAACGATTAAAACTTAATGACGCAATGCAGAAACGGTCGTCGGCCTCTTATATCCTTTTCTTCGAATCGTCTCGAAATATTTAAAAGAATTGTAAATAATTATTTGAAAAAATTATTTTCCTCTTTTAGAATTTTTCATTATTTGCTTTTTTAAATATAATGTAAAACTTTGCACATTTTTATTTGATAAAAATATTCATTTTTTAAATTTTAAATCATTATTAAAATAGACACAAGATGTTTTTAAACAAATTCACTTTCAGTTACGTCGCATTTAAGATTAAATCTAATAAACGAATATAAATAGCAAAACGGTAGCTACAACTAGCAAAGTTAGCCAAATCGTACACAGCCAGTTGAATAAAAAGTTCATGATGCAAATTCTTGTGAGTTATTTTCGTTTACATATACATATATATATATATATATATTAAATATATATATTTATACATATATTCCTTTTGTTCCTCACAATTCGGTCTTTCTATAATAAATCTAAAAATATTTCTATATTTTTAAATTTTTCTATTAATAAAAAAAAATGAAATATTAATTTGTATTTTAATAATGATTATAAATTAAAACTTAACATTAGGCAAATTTACATATTATTTTTATTTTATATATGATTTTTGAAAATATTTTTACATACAAATTTGTAATGTGTTTGATTCATATAATTAAATTAATTTCTTCTAATCTAAAGATTTATAGATAGCCAAAATTTCCAAAATAACAGATTTTTCAAACTGCAAAGTTAATAATTATTAATAATTGATTTTTCTTGTAAATATTTTAAGTACAAATAATGATATTTCTTAGCTATTATTTAAACAATAATCGAATAATATTAATTTCATTAAATAAATAATTTTTTAATAGAAATTCTTCGTGATTTAGATAATTATTAAGTTAAGATTATTAAGTGTAATTAAATATCAAAATTTTGAAACAATTATAAATATATAATACGAGCATTATGTTGATTACTTTTTAGAGATACATACGTACCCATTGAAAAAGACATGTAGTTGCCTGTTACTATAAAATTATCTATTTTACAATTGGTTTCTATTATTATATATTATAGTATTATATTCATAGTATCATATTCATTTTTTGTATAATACAAACAAATTAAATAAAAATATTAATAATATTATAACTATTAAACATACATATTTAGTGTTTGTAAACATAACCTTTTTGTTTTATTAACCATATATCGAATGAAAAGTATTTTGAAATACTGAAATATAAAAACATATGTACTTTGTATGTATATATATTCAATAATTCTTGTTACATTATTATTATCTCAATTATAAACAACACGTACTATGGGACGTAGTCGTTCACCCTCTCCAGGAAGAAGAAGAGATCGATCTCGAGATCGAGATCGGGAACGTGAACGAGACAGAGATAGAAGAAGAAGACGTTCTCGTGAAAGAAGACGAAGGTATTTTTCTATAATTTATCACAGAATGAAATTATATAAAAAATTAAATGATAAAAATGACATAAATTTGAAATCATTTTAGATCTGTTGAACGGGATCGTGTAAAATCGAGAGAAAGAGAAAGGGATCGTGACCGTGAACGAGATAGACACAGACGTTCATATAGTAGATCTAGATCAAGAGAAAGAGATAGACCTAAACCCAAATTAAAACCTACAACAGAACGTCCTGTTATTACAGGTATGTAGATTTAATATTAAAAAAATATGAATTTGGAAAATCTAATTTTTTAAATGAATATTTTACAGAAGCTGATCTTCAAGGAAAAACACCAGAAGAACAAGAAATGATGAGAATAATGGGTTTTTGTGGTTTTGATACTACTAAGGGCAAAAAAGTTGAAGGAAATGATGTGGGAGCTGTACATGTTATTCTTAAAAGAAAATATAGACAATATATGAACAGAAAAGGAGGATTCAATAGACCATTGGATTTTGTAGCATAAATTTTATAAATATGACAATTCCATAAACAATACAATTTCAAATTCTTTACAATTTGTACGAGTTCCATTGTTTTAGTGAGCCTGATTACAACAATAGGATGTGCAAATGGTACAGAAAATAATTCATATAAGTAAATATATTATATCATACAGAAAAAAGTGAATCTAAAAACAAAATATGCTTAATTTTTGTTTTCTTTTTTTTTTTTTTAATATATCTTTTAACCCAAATTTTAAATAAGAATATTTCAATCTTCTGTTCTACATCGTTTTTTTGAAGGTATTGTATTATCATCGTTGTCACTCAAATCATCTGCATTTGAAATAGGATTTTCAGAGTTTTCTGGACTTGATGAAGCAAGCTATAAAAATTAAAAATATTTTAGAATATTGCTAATATTTTTAAAGAAATTAATAAATAATAAATTCTTTGTTAACTGATATTACCAAGCTTGTATCCATTTTCTCAAGTCCTTCTACCAATTCTGGATTTTTTATTCTAAAATCTCTAGTTATGCTGTGTTTCATGTAATTTTCTAATGGTATCTAATCACATAAATCATTGAATTCTATGTGAATACAAAGTGAATGAATGAATAAACTATTTAATAGGTTGATTTAATACTTACACCCGTTCTTTTGCCAAGTAATAATATTTCTTTATTAAATTGTTCAATTTCATATACTACACGAGGTATTATTTTAGTTTCTTTTAAAATTTTATTTCTTTGTGCATAAGAGTCAGATTTTGATTGTAATTTATTTTGATTTTCCTGATTTTTTTGATAAAAATAAATACATATTAATAATACTATTAATATTATTGATAAAAAATTTATGAAAGTAAAAAAAAACATACCTCTACATATGTTACTAAATTATAGAAAGTAGATTTTAATGGTTTACCAGCTAATTGTACCAGTTGAATGAATCTACAATCATTATACAATAAAAAATTCAATTTCAATAATGTATAAATTGTTAGTTATACAAAATAATATGTATACAGTACATACTTAACAGCTTGGAATGCTGCATTTTGAATATTTGATTTTGTGTAAAAATATTTTGTAAGATTTCCAAGTAAATGATACAAATATTGCAAATTTTTAAAAGTATTGTCAATACATGGACTTGATTCAATTGATGTATTAGCTAATGTTTGAAGTACTTGAGCAAGATAGGATAGTTGTTTACATAAATTGCGTTCCTTTTCTTTTAAATTATTATTTGCTGTTAAAACAATATAATTTTCTATGGATGTTGTAAAATTTTTATTTCATATTTTAAATTTATACTTACATACTTCATCAATTGTTCCAGGTGCTCGAACTATGATGTCTTCTGCTTTTAATCGCATCAACAACCATGAAGCATTATCCAATTTTTGTTTAATGTGATTATTTAATACATTATAAATTTGTAATATAGTATCTTCGCGAATAATTTTATATATTTTATTCATTATTAACTCGGTCTATATTTGATAAAAATAAAAATCAATGACAATTCAATGTGAAATACAAAAAAATGTTGAATATTGTAAAATAAAGAATATTACTTACACCATCAATAGTTCCAACTTTTTCGCATAATTCCATACAAATTTCATTTAATGTTTCTCCATACTGTTGTGTATGTTCTTCTAAATGTAAAAAGAATTGCAAGATTGCAGGAACAATAGAACTTTGAATATTTTCGATTTGAATCATTTTTTTTATACATTTTAGCATCTTTTATGAAAAAAAAAATATACATAGAAATGATTATATGAATATATATAAAGATATAGGAAGAATTATATTTAGAAAATAATTTTTTTTTAATTGAAAATTAATTTTTTATAGTTATAATAATTTTTATATCTTAATATATTCCTATAGAAATAAAATCATTTTTATGAGAGACAGTACACAAACCTTATCAGGATTGTAATTTTCAAAATTAATTTTATATGTGTATTGTTCCATTATTTCTAATAATAAACATGATACTTTCTTTTTCTCATCATCATCATTCATGTCTTCTGTAAGAAACTTTTCCAAATATTCTTTCAATGAAAAAATAATTTCTTGTAACTGAAAATTAATATCTTTAGATATTGAATCTTTCTTAGATTGTATTTCAACTGTAAAATATAAATAAAATTATACAAAAAATTGTCATTAAATTATATTAAATTATCATATAATAAATTATTATGTAAATACATACAAATTGAATTGAGAAATGATTGTAACTCGAATGATAATAATGTACATACACAATAAGAGATTTCTTTAAAACATTGCAAAGCTAATATAGTTACTTGTGCATCATTTGTAAGAGCATCAATTATATTTTGTATGAAATGTTTATAAAGCAATCTAAATAATAAAAGTACTTTCATTATTATTAATTAATATAAAAAAGTAAGATTCAAAACATTTAATATTGAACATCATTTTTTTGCTTTAAACTTACCTTCCAATATCAATATACGTATTTAGATATTGGTGATTTTGCGATTGAGAAATATCCTTTATAGACAGTTTTATCCGTTGTAAAAGTTGTTCACATATTTGTAATATATAATAACAAAAATTATGATTTTTTCGAAGTATAACATCATTTTGAGTTGACTGTCTGTTTATGAATTGTAATTAAATTTACTGTATTATTACACTCTAAACATTTCCACAGTTTAATGATAATAATTCAATAATTAATTAACAATCTTAAGATCCAGTAATAACTTGAATATCATAATTATATTCTTATATTATTCGACTTTATTAAGGATAACATTTGAATAAAAAAATATTTTTGATATTGGAATTTTACATAAAAATATTTCTTTAATAATAAAACCGTGGAAACGTTTAGAACGATTTAATAATGGCATCTTAATAATACTCATTCAATTATCATACTTACGAAAATAAAAGCAACAAACTTTGACGAATCACATCTAAATCCATAATAGTATTTGGAATTTTTATATTATTTGATTTGATGGATTTTTTAGTTGTATTATTGATATCTTTATTCTTCTTATTTTTACCATTATCAATTTTTTTTATTTTTGTAGATTGCTAAAAAATTCATGTGATTTTTAATACATTTTAATATGTAATAAATACAAATAAAATATAATAATGAAATATATATATTGATCATTTTACCATTTTAATAAAGTCTACCAAACGTGTGTATGCTTTAAATAAATCATTGATATTATTCAAGACTTTATCATTCCCTTTTGACCATTCACCAATTCTAAATGCTATTAAAGCTTCACAAATCTCAATAGCCATGCTAAGGTTTTTTAGTTTTATCTGTGATTTTGATTCTCCATGGAAAAAATCAGTTCCATGCTCCTAAGATAATATTTGTTTTTATATTAACATATTTATATTATTTTCTCATATTGAAATTTTAATTATCAGATTTAAATAAATAAAATTTTAATTACCAAATTTAAATGTTCTAATTCTATAATTGTCATTTTTTCACATAATAATTCCAAAATATTATATATTTTTTCAGAAGTACTTGAATTCTTTGTAATTGTATTAATATATATTTTTTGTAATGCAAATATCAATTGAGCAATAGGTTCTTGCATAATTACATCCATACCATGAATATCTGTACATAATTCTAATTTTATAGGAGGCAAAATGTTATCATCTGCATGAAGGTAAAGATTCAAATGTGAAAAAAGCATATCTAATATAATTTCTACTATTTCAGGATTTTTGATTGTAGTATTGTATAAACCTAAAAATATAATATTATTATGAAAATAATAAGTTTTTCATTGGTCATTTAAATAAATCTTTTTTACCTTCATATAAATGTAATCTAACTTCAAATTCATAAGTAAAACTTTTTTTAATATATCCAATATTTCATAACATAAAGTTCTACCATATTCTGTAAGTGATCTTTCTGGTTGCGAATTATACTCCAAAGTTACCTAAATTATAAGATTAAAAATAATTATATTTTTGTTATTAAAATCAATAAATTAATAGTCTTATTTTCATCTAAAATTTTTAGATACACATACTTGAGTTAATGTTGATTTAGAATTAGAACTACTTGTGTATTCAAAGGAATTAAGTTGACTCAATCTAAAATTATATTGACAATGCATTTTTTTATATTTTAACATCTCAATAAATCCTGTAACTGCCATTTGTCGTTTTGATGTGCCTTTTCTGTAAAGAGCTTTTCTTAAAGTCAATAAAAGATTTTCTCGTACATTAGGCGAAATAGGTATTAATGGAAAAATAGCATATAAAACTTGAGTAGCAACTTTAGGTTGCAAAAGTAACAATCGTTCGAGAATGATCATAATCATAGTTTGATGTTCCAAAACAATCATTGACAATTCACGACACATATATTTTAAACAATCTAGAAAATATTTCTTTTTATTATGATAATATTTGATGCAGTTTTATAATAAATATTGTTGTCTTTCTACCTGTATAATGTACTGTTGGCATATTCCCTGCTACTATTTTATTAATTAATTCTTGTAATACAATAGGAATTGTCTCATGACGTTTTTTAATTATTTCTCGTATTATTTCAGATCCTATATACCACATAGCTGTTGCATTATTTTTTGATTTTTGATCAGCACTCATTAATGTAAAAGCTAAATTAGTAAGTCCTTTTAATACTAAATGGCGTTCTTTATTGCTATAAAATAATTAAATAATAATATTAAAACAAAGTATAAAAAATAATATTAATTAAATAACATTAAATTGAATTGACCTGCTATCAATGACTTGTTGAATAATGCCAATTATATTACAAGGAGAAGGTAAAAATTGCCTTAACCATGCACTATTTTGTCGCTTTTCTTTTTCTAAAGTATTGTGAACAATAGCCAATTTTAATATTTCAAAAATCTATCAAACATATTGTTTTTTTTACATTAAAACATTAGATTACAATGAAATTCTTGATTATATGTTAAAAATTATGATACCTGATCTTCATATATATCAGAAACTGACATTAAAACACAAAGTATAAATGATTGTAATATATATTCTGGAGCATAAGACACATGTTTAAGGAAACGAATAAAATCTTTCATATTTTCATGATTTAATTGTGTAGCTTGATATATATGATACAAAACAGTGCTTTCAATATCTTGTATCTCTCTCAAATTAATTACATCTGCAAGTATATATATTTAAAAGAGAATATTAATACAATAGATATATATGAATTTAAATATTTTTGTTTACGTACCTATACTTTCAAAATTATCTATATTGTTGGCTAAATTGGTTCTAGAATAACACAAATTAAAATACTTAGATAAGGCACTCAAAAGTTTTTGATTATCTCGATTTGTGCATAATTTTAATGTTTGATATGTGAAAGAAGGTACTTGATCCAGAGGAAGATTTGGAAGAGCAGAACATAACGTTTTTAAAACTTCATTACGATTTATCTTATCCAATGCCATATCCTTTACATAAAAAAATTGGATAATTTTAATTTTAAAATTTTATATATAAAATTAATATTTAAAATTTTATAAAGTTTAAAAATCATATACCCAAACATTTTTGCCAAAGATGGTAAAAAATTGACATTCCAATCATAATTACATATATCTTTAACAATTAATGTTTTATATTCAATTCCTGACACTTCGGTATCTGCATGAACAATATATTTTTCATTTTCCAATGCTTCAAATAAAGCAGGTAATAAATCTTTCCAACTGTAAAAAAAAAAGATAGTATTAAAAAATATGATATCAAAAAAGAAGAAAAGAATAATAGAAAGTATAAATGGTTTTACCTCTGTAACTCATCAGCATCATTGCGAATATTTTTAACACAAAAATCGACAAATTTGACAAGATATTGTTTCGAATATCTTGGAAAATCAGCAATTATCCAATTAATAATCGTATTTACTTGCCCTGTAGATATATTAACTTTTCCCAAATTCTTCAGTATATATTCGATAAGTTTTTGTCGTTTTAATTGACCCTCATCAGAATCATAAAATGCTTGCAAAAGATCATCTAATATTTTCGTAGCATCCAATTGACAAATAATGTTTTGTACTAATTGTATAAGCTGTTAAAATTATTCTTTAAGCTCGAATATCATTGTCATTGTTTAAAATATAATTTTCATAGTTACTTACCTCTTCTTTATTCAAATCTTGAACAAATGCGCGCAATTTTAATTGATCATCTCGTAAATTTTCAAAACGATGATACATATTCGATATTTTTTATATAAATTCAGTTTATATTTTTATTTATTTATAAGTTAAAGTTAATTTAGACAGTATTTAATTTTTTCTTTTTTATTTAATGAAAAAACTTTAAATTATTTCTTCTTTTCGTATATACAAATGCGTATGCATTCATAAATTTATTTTGAGTTTATCAAATCTCTTATAGATGCCGTTTAATGCCAAACAAGCATAGCATTATTTGATGATAGAAAGGAAAGAAAAGGCGGGAAATAATTAAAAATTTTCTATTCAATAAGTAATATATTTAAAAATTTTATTTTCATTTGATATTAAAATAAAAATATTATAACATATATAAATATATAATATTATAATATTATAATATATATATATATATAGAATATAAATATTATAATATATGTATACAAGTTTTCAAAGCATGTTTTTTTGAATTTGATTTTTAAATATGTCGTAATTCTTTGTTAGATTACTTAGAAATTATCTTAATTATATATATTATGTAAAAAATATAAAGATGTATATTTATATCATATTTTTATTTATAAAAATTTGATAATTCATTGTAAAATAATGATAAAGTATTTCATCCGAAATAAATGAGACATTTTCAAAGTAAGAATATTAAATATTAATAGTATATATATTATTATTTGCATTAATATTCCAATCAAAATTTTAGCAAGAAAGTAAAAGTGTAAAATCGTTTTTTTCTGTGACAGTAATCAGACTCGACGAATTTGGATTTTTAGTCCAAGGTCGGAGGAGATAAATTAACGATATTATTGAAAGGGAGAACAAAAAAAAGAGAATCGGGTGTGGCAGAGGAAAGCACACAAACGGTTACAGCATGCTCTTATGGCGAAAGTATTTTTCGGTACTCGTTCGAAACACGCCCTTGTACCCCACCTGATTTCAGTTGGTTCGACTATATAAGATTTCGGCTACGAAAGGATCAGCACACATTTGCTTTCATACATTGTTGAAGAATCGATCAAAATCTACCTGACTCACAATGTTCTCGAAGGTAAGCGATGTAAAATAATTTAATAAGTGAATATAGAGAACATTTATATATACTATATATTTTTAATAAACAATGTTGAATCTTATTTTATATGTTTCTATATAATAATCATATAGATATACTATGAAAATATATGTATATCATATATTACTAAAAATAAGGAAAGAAAAATAGAGAAAGAAAATTGTATGAAATTATAATAATTTTAAATATAATAGTTCGTTTTTTTTTTCTCAGATCGTAGTACTCGCTTGTGCTCTGGCAATGTGCAATGGAGGAGTATTATTACCAGAAGCAACTGGACAATATTCTTTGACAACTGCGGCTTTAACATCAACATCTGACAATATACTTCGTAGCACAGGAAATTTGGCACAAATTGCAACTCAATCAAAAACAATTTCTACACCGTTTTCTAGCACTAGCAAATCTGATATTCGTGTAACAAATCCAGCGATTTATGCACACGCTGCTCCAGTAGCATACGCTGCAACGCATGCAGCACCCCTGGCAGCACCATTAGCTGCTGCTGCTCAACCAAGCACACTTCTTGGTGTCGCTTACTCCCCGGCAGTAGCTGTTTCACACATGGCCTATACCAGTCCCATCGGTGTCTCTTACGCATGGTAATCGTTCTCCCGAATTTCTTAGACCGCTAATGCCAATCTTTTAATATGACAATTCGATTCTACTTATCATTATGATTTATACATATCTGATATTTTCTCTATTTTTATTTATTAAATACAATTAATTAAACAATACACATTGAAGTGTAACAGCCTTATTTTCCTTCCTTTTTTTCAAACACCAAATGCTGCTAATGTCGATTATTATTATTCAATTGATAAAATGAAAATATCGATTCAGGCTTAGTATAGAATAACAATTGTACGTTTATTGAATAATCGATTATTACATTTGACAGAGAAGATCGTTTGAATTGTAACAACGATTCCGATCCGATACAAATGTTCGAATGCATCTCATGGTCGATAATGGTAAAATATCGAGTTTTTAATCGAATTATCGCTCTGTAATACAAATTCAAGCGTAGACCTTAGAGGACCTTGACGGCTCCTATCCCATTCAAGGCTATACCATTAAGTCCTAGAGGGGCAGCCGCTAAACCAGTAGTGATAGCAGCGGGTGCAGCTGCGATTGCGGTTGTCAATCCAGGTGTAAGAAGTGTTGTAGGTGCAGCAACAGCAGCTGTAGCCACTGGGGCTGAAAACCAAAAAATTTGGAAAATATTGCGCTTGTAATAAATCGAATTTTGCAATTAAATCGAAATCAAGGAAAAAAGAATCGTTCGAAGAATCGGTTATTAAGAATGACTGATAGTTATTTAGAGCTAAGGAACAATTATTACGTCGATTTTAAACTTTTATATCGAATCTGCTCGTTAAGTTAAGATTAAGCTACACGCACGAAATATGTACACACAAAACGATATTATTCGTACGTGTTAAAGCATAGCATGTTTAACGAATAACAAGAAAGAAATGAAAAAAAAAAAAAAAAAGGAATTGAAAAGATGAAATGAGTAAAGCAACAATTGATACAGTAGAAAATGGAACGTGAGAAAAGCGGACTAACGAAGTATCGATACTAATGCATGAAGAAAATGTATCGACGTTATCGACCGATATTCGATATTCGATTAAAACCATCACGAAGAAAAAAAAATGATGAGACAACATGTCGCTATATATACCAATATTCTGTCCAGCAATATATATATAAGATATTAAAAAAGTAAATTGGCACCCAGGTAATCAGGTACCTGCAATAGCGGTATTTGCGACCGCAACTACCGGGGCGGGTACAGCAGTCGCCGTCACGATTCCAGGATTGTTAACGCGTACGTCCGCTTTCCTGACGCTACTGAACGGCGTGTCTATGCTCTTCGCATAGGCCGATATGGCACCTAAATTACCGATACCCCGTATCACATTGGAGGTGGACGTTGCGATAGTTGGTACCGCGAGCGTGGCTGTGGACAGTGGAAGGGTTGCTGCTGCTGCTGCTGCTGCTGGCTGTACTGCAACCGCTGCGGGCGCGGCTGCGAGCAACTACCTCCAATTACGCCAGCTTGCCCAACTGCCAGCAAACAACCGCAAATACACCAAAAACTGAAAGAAAAGAAAAATTTTACTCTCTCTCTCTCTCTCTCTCTGTCCGTTCCTCCCCACTTTAACACCCCCTCCTTCTTCTTCCCGTCAACGATCGCAGATAACTGGATTTATTTAACGGGGAAACTTTCATTTCGATCTTGAGAATCGTGATAAGTAATTAAATATCTTATTTTTACGCCTTTTACTTACTCTAAACATGATGATAGATAGCGCCTGCTTTCTTCACCGTTTGGAAGCAACAAACGAATTGAATGCATCTAATAAATCTGTCAGTCTATTTATACGCAAGCTCTTGTAAGTTAGATAGTTAACTCGAACCATTTTTTCTCCGAAAACTTGGTATCAAGTGTCGACCAAAGACAGGTATATTGCATAGCAAACTTATAACGAGCCGACATTGCATCACATATATATATATTTATATATATATATGTAGCTAGAACAAATTTGATATCGCAAAAATTTATTAACAGATTGATCGTGCTCTGGTTTTCTCTGGAAAGGAAATGTTCATTTTGTTGTTTGAAGGAAATGAAAAAGAAAAAATGAAATTCAAAAAGCAAAACGATATCGAGCGAAAAATAATCGATAATGGAACCAAAAGTTGTCAAACGTATGTGAAAATAGGCTCAATTTCGTATCATTTAAATGTACATTACAACATCAACGTGTAAATGTACACCAACGATTGAAAAGTAAAAGAAACAGATAGATACTCTGCAATTACTCAATATCGGTATATCTCATATTGCAACCGATATGCCTTCAGATGTACTATAGAATTACATTTAGCCATCATATAAAGAATTGTAGAATCGTACGTTTGATAGATGTATATTTACAAAGATATATAAAGGAATAAAATAATTAATAAATTCCTGAAAAAATTTTTTGTAAATTTTAAAATTCATAATCATTGATTCATTGTAATCATTGATCATCGACATAAGTGTGTAAATAAATTGTTTTGAAATTATAAAGTCGTATTTGTTTGCAAATAATAATGTGAGAAAATTGTAGAAAAAAACTTGTTTAATCTACTTTCGAATGATCAAAAATGACAAAAGAAAAAGATGGGGGAAAGTAGAGGGAGGGGGTAGGGGGAGAAAGAACCAATGAGAGTGGGAATGAATGAATATAAGTAAGTTACCAAGTGAACGGGAACGTAATCGGACTATCTTTGTTGGTTACAGTTATTATGCAATTGACATTGGCAAAGTGTAACAGTATGAACACGGCCAAGAACTAAGATTTCATAAGAATGCCAGAGGCGAAGGAGCAGCGTACATATGTTATAATTGCTGTAAGCTAACGTATATGAAAATGCTTTCTTCATTTTTGTTTCTTTAAAGATTTCTTTAGAAATTATTAAATTATGATTCTTTCCATTTAAAATTTCTGATAGATTAATGATAAATTATATGATTGAATATTGCGTATTTTCATCAAGCATAAATATTATACATATACACAACAACATACATAGATTTTAGATTAATCGTTTCAACAGATTTGCGCATTATTAAAAATTTTTCGATACAAAGGTTCGATACAGGTTTCATTTATTTATTATTTCTCTATAAAATAAAATATAATACATCGATATATTTCTACATTTTATTCTGAATAATATTTTATTAATAGCACAAACTTATAATTCGTTGGTTGTATTAGAATAACATCCTAAATAATTTATATAATATATCATTATATCCGTTATACATATAAATTTGATTGTACGTGAAGTAAAATCATTTAGTTAGATTCTCTATTTTATAATCTAACTGTAGGAATGTCGGAAAAAATATGTCAAAATCATTAATAACTTCACATATGTAACGCGTTTATATATAATAAGTTAATTAATATTATAGCTCCTTAAATTAAAATCGATTTAAGATTCTTAAATTTAATTAATAAAAAAAATATTTTTACACGAATGTATAAGCGATCCATAAATATATTCACTTAATTATATTATAATTTTTAAAATATCCACGTATATCGCGCGTTATTATTTGCATACAATTTAGTTTCAATCTTTTTAAATGATAATCAATTTTTTTTTCATAAATATAAGAAATAATATATAAACATACATATATATATAAAGAAAAAGCTGATATATATATATATATGTATATATACATATCAGTTTTTTCTTTTTCGCTCTTTTATTTTTTCTAAGAATTAAAAATTAAATAAAATTTCAAAGACTATATACAATAGTCTTCATAAAAATAATTTTTATATTTTTGTCTTCACAGCATATGTCTTCATCATTTCTTGTACCATTCAGGATATCAACTCGTTTGTAGCACGAGGATATTTTTCTTTTCATTTCCAAATATTAATATATTATAATTATAATAATAAGATAGCTCTAATCCATAAAAATCGTTTACTATATAAATAATTTTTTTGTTTAACAATCATAATAATTAAAAGCGCAAAAAAAGAAAGAAAAAATCAGCATAAATATATTATATCCAACTATGAAATAAGCATACTACTTAAGGATATATGAAAGGGACAATGAATGTAAAGAGTT